TTGTCTAAAGATTTACTGGTTCGACTATAAAGCTAAGTCAGCGTAAAACTGAAAAATACTCAGATTTTGGATTCATTTTTCGAATCGTTAACCCTCGTTAACCCTAAAATGACTTAGTTTATTATAATGCTTAATCATTTATTAATTAATATCTGTTAAAATTAGAATGGGCGAATTTTGGCCAATTTATGAAAATTGAAGTTGAAATATACTATACTTTTATAGGTCATGTAAATGTTCCATTAAATTCGAAACTTTTCTTGGTGGAAAGTATTAATATGTTTTATATTTTATGAGAGATAAATGTATCAGCTTCAAAATAGAAAAGATTGCGCAGCCATAGTGATTGACAGTATGTAGTGCGCATTGAGAAAAGAAGGTGCTCTCCATTTCGTCATGTTCAATTTTTTGGTCAACTATGCCTGCGAAAATTTGATGGCGGGGAACACATGGGACTTCAAAGGCATCGCGCAAACTTTGACCTTGGTTCATTTGCATAGCGCTGCGTGCGCGTAGATTTGCCGAGTGATCTCCTTCTCAATAATACCTCCATGGTAATAATAATGCCAAATATTTATATAGTGCCAATTCCAAATTGAATGATCAAAGGCGCTGAGTGTTGTCACTGGATAACATTGGTAAACCAGTGAAATGTGCACCTTCTCTGCTCCCTGGGGAGTATACCTAGTTGTGCACTTGCACTGATCACACGAAACTAGTACATTCATTGCCAGAACATCCTACCAGAAACCCATGCTTATAATTATAAATGGCTAATTAAAAATAATTAAGCCTAAAGTTCAGTTTCCATACAATCACTACACACTATCTCCGACTGTTTTCAGTGATGCTGATTGGTCGGTCGAATCGGAGAGCATTCCCGATTGCGTCAACATTGTAGCGACAGTTTAGCGATTATATGGAATTTTAAATTACTGTAAGATCATTAATCATTACAATGAACTCTGAAGTTTGTTGGTTCAAAAAGGGTTTTGAACTTTATGAACTTGATACAGGTTAGTTGATTTCATAGAACATATTCTACTGTTAATGAACTTAATGCACATTGGACGTCAACAATTTTTTTGGCGCAATGCCAATTTATTTCTATAGTATTCACAATTTTTATGGGCAATTGTTTTATTTGATTATTGGCAATTCCCTTTCATCTATCTTATTTGAATTTTTGTTTCATCCCAACAACATAGCCAATTACAGAATGAATTTTAACTAATCTGTTTTATTCATTATTTAATATAGGATTGATATAGTGCACATTTCCAGATAACTGCTCAAATTTTTTTCCCCCTGGTCATTGGATACAGAATCCATCATACACTATGTGCTACCTCTTCTGCTACCTGGGGAGCATAGTATTCGTTGTTAAGTGTGTATACATTCACCACTACTACTTATTTCATTCCAAAACATTCACTGCCCACTGTACTAGGCACCCATTTATGCTCCTGGGTGAAGATAATAACGCAGATAAATTGTCTTATCCAGGGACATAAGCAGTGTGATAAGCATCGGTCTCAAACATACGGCCCCATGAAAACCTTTTACCCCTGCAGCACGCTATAGGATATGTGCAGATAGCAAATGATACAAATAATAAATTGGAAGGAATTATACTTCAGTGGTGGCGTCAGGGGTTGTCCCTTACAGTGTCTCATAAGTGTTCCATGAGGGTGAATCCTTCGAAAAATATGACAATTTAGGTGTTTCCAAGGCTTATTTAATCTCTTTTTGGGTCTACTAATATGTAGAAAATACATATACTGTACAGTATATATTTCTTTTTCTCTCCGACGAATTGTTGTTTTTCTCCTGGCCACCACTGTATACTATTTCTAAAGAGGTATTAGGGACCAATGACCTTAATGGATCAATTAGGATTATTGTATCAATTAATGGTGATCCACTACCCACTTGCGCATGGGGTGATTGCTGCCCGAATCAATAAAATCAAGTCATGTTGCAATGCAAGGCTTTCTTAATGTTTGAAATTGTAAAATTATATGTCTGTCTAAGCCCAAAGGTATTTTAAATGATTACCTTGCCTATCAGTTGTTTACAGTTAGTAGCTTTTCTAGCTGCCTTAGTTGGTCTTAATTAATTTTGGCATAGCGCTTTCCATGAATATTTTAGCTCTTGTTTTAAGAAACATTCTACGGAATTCATATGCTTCAAAAAATGTTTACCATCTCGGTTTTAGTAGCTTAAATGTTCATTTATTCAACTATGGCTTAATAGATAACCCATTATGCAATCATTGTGACTTTAGTGGAAGACCCAGATCACTTCTTTATTAATTGTCCATGCTGCTCAGCGAAATATTTCACTCACTGATATCTGGGACCTTTTCCTTTTATGTTTAGAAATGATCCTTTATCAGATTTGTCTTATTTAACCATTATTTAATTAGATGCAGTACAGACCTAAATGAAAAACAAAATTGTATGTTATTTGGGATTGTTTAAAAGTATATCTTTTAAGTACAAATCGTTTTTCTGTGTATGCCCAAAGAATTAAAAAATCAAAAAGGATAGTATTTTTTTTTTCTTTGTTCGATGAGTTTTGACTTACTGGGAGGCTTGACCTGGCTTACAAGGGGCCTTAACCACCGGCCCCCAACTGGTTTCCATCAGCACTCACTTTCAAACTGCGGCACACACTTTTGTGGTGCGTTCGTAAAAATAACGTACACACAATACAATATAAATCGTGACACTTAATGTAATAAAATATGTTATGAAATTACACAAGTGTTGTGTCATGGCACAGAGAGTTTATCAGTTATTGCCTATTAGAAATTTAGTATAGATTTGTTGGAAAAAAAATAATCAAAATAATTGAGGTATGAATGAGTAAAATTCTGTTCACAGCCTTTTTTTTTTTTAGTGATTCTGCTTCACCCCTACATATTGTATGTCTCCTGTATGGCAATAATTGAGGTCACAGGGGTCCGAAGTTGGAAGAAATCCTTTCTGGGAGATCTGGTTATATGAGCTTTTTTAACATATTATATTTCATTTTACTGTGCGTTGTCAAACCCATTGGGACTGACTTCCATGAGACAATGGGCAATAAAGTAGTAAAAACATGCAAATATTATGGATTTGTGGGAAATGGGTTGGTTTCTTGGAGCCTCCCGCGACTTTCAGGAGAAATGAAACCCCTAAAGTCATTCTCGTTTCTAATACGAGAAACTGTTATTTTAATTTTGTTTTCTAGATCGTCTTGTTAGAGAATACAGCCAACAAGATGCCTTGGTAGTTGAGGATGTGGTTACTAATGGCAACGGTGATCAAGAGATTCGAAGTAGAAGTACCTCAACATCTTATAAGTAAGTATAATTGGTGTATCTGGCATCTCCAATCGATTTTGTACAACTCAATCTTTGATGAAAAACTAAAATCGGAAGCTGGAAGTGTGATTATTTATAGCGCAATTTTCTGTAGTCTCAAATATTCGTCACTTGAACTCGCCTCAGTTAAATTTTCCAGGTCAGGTATCCAAATATTCTCGGAGGGAAACATGTACGGAGTAGTCATGCAATACCTGTTAAATTGCAAATAATTATGATGGGTTTGCATGAGTGAGACATAGTATATAGATTAGATGTGACTTAAACTGCGAGAGTTCTAAGTATTCCATCAACTCATGTGTCATTTATCATGGAGATCACGCTCTGTGTAACACTGCTATGACAGCTCAAATTTGTGAGTTTCATTCCATGTAATGTAGAGAGAAGTAATTCGTCCAATAAGCCCTTTCGTGGTTTGAACTGCACGTGTCCGTTTTGAAGGGCAGTCGACATAAACAAACATTAATGCGTAGCTTTTGGAATGGTCTAAATTTAGATGAAGTCATTCAAGATTTAGTTAGGGTTGTAGCTGTAGAAAATTAAAAGAGTGTAGTAACCATTTTAGAGGTGGGTGGGTTATAACATTGGTAAACTGTAAATAATAAGAATGGATTTTATTATTAATGGTAATTGGAGGTTATTATAAGGTGCGTGGTAAAACTAAGGCTGTAAAACCCCGCCCTCCATAACTACATCTCGGAAAGTAAAACTTTCTGAAAATAATACAACTCCATTGGCTGTGCCACTTGAAGTAGGCCCGTGCCTGGGACGTATGTTGTTTGTGTTAATTGTTTGTTTATGTCAATTAACTTTAGACACAGACTTTCATATTTCGAACTACGAAATGGCTTATATAGGATTCCAGTATATGCAAGTTATTAGACTTTAGTGTTGTCTAATCTCTCCATAGGTAGGCAATTCATTACAAGCACCCCATACAGTAAGTGTGTTTGAGGGTCATAGGGTAAAATCTTTATCAAGAACAGAACTATATAATTATTTTTTATATGTTAATATTTATATTTGATGTTAAATGTGTCACAAATATAATATGGCAATATTAATTTAAGTCATAAAAACAGAATAAATAACCACATTACCGATATGTAAACCTAATTAATTGAAATTTGATATAAACTCAGTTGTGGACAAAGTATGCATCTGTTTGTACTTTGTACTCATTTGATTTTCAATGCTTAAATGTTAAGCAAATTGTAAAATTTAAATTATTGTGACACATTGTAGTATGGATTTTAACAATATTTTTCTTGAGCATTGCTACCATTTTGTCAAATATGTTTTTTGAAATCATGTTTTCCTCTAATCATAGAAATATCAGTATTGTACAGTACAGTACTTATCAAACATAAATTGCTGAGGCGCATTTGCAATTGTTTTATCACCATCGTGCCATTACACAGAGTTTTTTTGGTGGTCTCTTAGGAGGAATTTGATGCTACATTCATTGTCATGCGCCTTTGAAATGTATGTTGTACGTGCTTATTACCTAGCGGGGGTGGGATGCGCCATCACTGTTATCAAAACAATCATGTTTATGGGTGACCTTTAAGAGTATGGATGGTATTCTGTTGTATCGCATTATTGTAGTCAGGCTACATTTGTGGTTGCTGTAAATGTTAATGAGCATTTATCATGTTTTACAATTATATTTTATTTGAAAGAGAATGGTTTTTTTTTTGTCCATTTTGCAAACACAAACTCTATTTTTTTCCCTTTGATATTTTATATATTTATTTATTTTATATATTTTTTTTAAATGTGGTAAAATAAATAGGACAACCTGAAGAAAATTTTAAGTGACTGAACATGAAAATAATACATTTTAAAGATGTATTGTCCCCTTAAAGTGACAAAAAAAAATCATTAAAAAAAATATTTTGAAATTATCTGACTGATTTTGTAGTTAACAAATTATTAACTCATAGAAATTATTGAAATTAAAAAACGGTTTACCCTGAATTTTTTACTGGATGATAAAAATATTTAAAAAAAACTTCTAGTGACTGGAAGTTTTTCTATCATTTTTTGCTCTAAAATTAAAATTATAGGTAAACATTATTTAAATACACTTTTATAAACTTCTGTGTTCAAGTTGATAATTTTTATGTTACTTCAAAATGAGCAGGGTAATTTTAAAAAATATGATTTTTTTTTTGTATTTTTTATTTGACAATACATTTCAAAGATCCTCCATATTATGAGTATTAGAAAGCCACAAAACATAATTAATTCCACAATATGCCATTAGATTCTAAAAGAAAAAAATATAATTAGGCTTTAATGAAACAATCACAGGGTGATATTAATAATATGCAAAACAATTAAAAGGAGAAGATTATTCATACACCTGCCCATGTACACATTGATATGACTACTGTACAGTAGGACATGGAATCTATAATGTAATTTAACAATGTGAAGTGTGTAGAGGTTCTTAATTAATCTCCGTAAATAGTATAAATTCTATATCATTTGTGATTTGTATCGTTTCAGAGAGGAGTGGCAGTGGTTGTTTGAACGTGATGACTACTTGAGGGTGATACGTTGTGAGGGTGTTCGAGGTCGGCTAAGAAGTAGCAGATTCCGAAGCGTATGTTGGAAGGTGAGGTTTTAACCATTTTCTGCCCACGCTTCAAAGGTGGCATTGAGGGGGAGGAAGTATAGCTGACTCACATCTGAATTAATTATGTACAGTCAATTAGTGGTTTTGTTTTATTAACTTGCACCGCATTTTGAATCTGCTATTCAAAGTTTTTTTTAAATATTTTATAATTTTTTACTTTATTCTGAATACAAAAAATAGTATTAATCGATAAACTCACAATAAAGGCAAATTTATTTCCATTGTGGTTCAAGATTCTGTTGTGTTGCTTTGTTTTAAAGATTTTTCTGCACTATGAAATTTTTTTCTGTGACAAATAAATGTGATATGCCCATATTTGGGTGTAAAATGACATCATCATGCCCATATATGGGCACATCACACAAATTTGTCACATAAAATTTGATAGTTTGAACAAAGCTCTAATGGTATTGTGTCTGCTTGCGAAAAAATATAATTATAAAATATTTAACTAAAGTTGCTACTACACTAATATGCTAATACGGAGCATTTTCCAAGGACAGAAAGGTCCACTGATTAATCTCGGATAAGAAAGTATAATACATACTCCAAATATTGAAATGAATGCCATCGTGTTGGGATTCAATCTTTCGACATTAATTAATGTCGAAATATTGAATCCCAACCTGATGACGTGCATTTCAATACTTGGGAGTATGTATTATACTTTCTAATGTGTTGATAGTTATGCATTTATACCATGCAAACTACTTGGGTCTGTATGCATTTGAAACAAGTGAACAGATGTAATTTGAAATACAAGGAAAGAACAACTCCAAGCCAACTCCTGAACCGCAGTATGTGGGGATGCCCTTTCAAGTAAAAAAAATAAATAAAATTGGGGATAGTTTTGTCTTTGGCATTTATATAGACCCAATTAGTAGTGGATATAAAAGTAATACCTATTCTTTGCATGGATGCCTTTGTAAATTGACTCGTAATTAATTTTAAGGTCTTTCATAGGAATTCAGTGATAACCAAATTGTTTAGTTAGTTCTGTGTGTCATTGAAATTGATAGCTTACTTCCCTCCTTTCTAATGAGCAATCCAATGTTTAAATTGACTTCAAGAATTTTTTTTTTATAGAATTTACTACAGACTGAGACAATAAATCTTATTATTACAGTATAATAAATATGATTATATGAATACACTTTTACTTAACAAAAGTTAAGTCATTTAATTGGATATTGCAGCAGTGTTATTGTTGTGATTAATTTATTTTTTCATATAGAGTACATGAATATATTGTTTTTTGGTGCTTGTTTTGCTAAATAAATATTATATTTTTTATTAGGTCTACCTAGAGTGTCTACCTCACGACAAGTCGCAGTGGTTAACAGCAGTGCGCAAATGGCGTTCAGAATATGAAGAATTACGTGAAAAGCATGTGACAAACCCACATAACAAAAATGGTGGTATTCACTCCCCAGATCCAGTTTTACATCATCCCCTATCACAAGAGAAAGATGTGAGTACATTGGTTTTGCATGTGGGTTAACAATTACTGTACTTTCATCAACTGTGAAAAAACAGTTTGCTTTACTGATTTAAAACATACTTTAAAAAAAATTATATCTATTCAAAATAGTTGTTTTAACCCCAATTTAGTGTTTTTTTTTATTCCTATGTTCTTGTATCCGTTTGGTTGTCCTCCACTTTCCCCCTTTGTCCCTCATGTTTTAATTTTATACGAGATTTTATTTTCTGTAGATTCTTTAATTGGTAATTTTTATGTTCAACTTCAGTTTGTACTGTATAAGATCAAATTGCAATTAAGTATTATTGTATTATTATCGTATCGTGTTATTATTATCGTATTATTATTATGTCTTATAAATTAGTAGGAAAATCTTAGGGGATCGAGTAATAGCTGGCAATAGGACAATTTTTTTGTATTGCTTGTACCAAGGGCAAGTTTTCTTGTCTGCTGTTTGCAGTGGTTGGTATATGCGCACCACACATCCATGCCAGTACTGACAGTCATTTAATGCAACAAACAACATGTTTATAAATACAAAAAAAAAAAATTTGCCTTCCTGTTATACCACCTGCATTTAAAATAGTTGCCTTTTTTAGCTCTATTATTCATTTATTTCTAATAAATGCTGTTTGCAGTGGTTGGTATATGCGCACCACACATCCATGCCAGTACTGACAGTCATTTAATGCAACAAACAACATGATTATAAATACAAACCAAATTTGCCTTCCTGTTATACCACCTGCATTTAAAATAGTTGCCTTTTTTAGCTCTATTATTCATTTATTTTCTAATGGTTTTCAAGGTTTATAGATTTAATTTATAGTGCAATTATATGGATTTTGTTTTATAAGCTTAATACCAAAGTAGATAATTATTAGATCAAAAAAGAAAAATCTTGCCAATCACAATATTAATAGATACTACCTATGTAAATTCGTAAATATACAGTGAATAACACTAAACATAGTGTCTGTATACACGTACAGTATAAAATCTCACTACAGAACCCTAAAAGTCTTAGAACTCAGAACAATTATATCATATAATACATTTACTACAAAACATAATCATAGATAGAATGTGTTATAATTAAAGGTATACTATCTATTGGAGTAGAGCTGTATAGCTTGTAGGGTAAGATCCTTGCCTCCCACCATCATACAAGGAGGGTTGGGGAGCCAACCATTAGTATACTGTACTTGTGAAAAACAGAGTTAACATTCCTGCGTTTATTACAACACTGTTATACATTGTTGAACCACAGACTTTACGGCGGTAGTTTGAGGAAGATGCTGTACACGCATTCATATTCAGACCTAGTGTATGACGCAGAGCATTGTACAGTGTGTACAGCATTACATTTATGTGCATATGATATGTTTAGATTGTGTAAAATGATTGTCAGTTACAACAAGACAGTTATTAATATCATTGTTGTCAATCCTTGGCCATGTGCCTAAATGAATGATAAAAAAAAAAAAGTGAAATCTAAAAAAAAAAAAAAATGAATCATTGCTTGTAGGTTAAGGTAATTGAGATGAATTGGATTTATCTAATGTGTGTTGATGTGTTTGTGAAGCCTAGATGGCATATGCAGGCAAATAAAGAATCTTGACTCATAGTTTCTTTTAAATTTACTTTAACTTTTTGTTGTTTGTGCTTGGTATCCTGCTCAGGGGATATTTACTGTTCTCTCACTGGCTCCAGTTATGCTTTAATTAAACTAAAGTGTCATAATGAGTCTTAGGGGGTCGAGTTGTTTTAGTTGTGAGAAAAAAATATCCTACTGTCACAGGAATTGATCCCATGACCCTAGGATTGGAAGGCAAGCATCTTAACCACCAAACTATTCAACCCCACTCCACTTTCTTGCTCCATGATATGTTTAGCTTGTGTAAAATGATTGTCAATTACAACAAGACAGTTATTAATATCATTATTGTCAATCCTTGGCCATGCGCCTAAATGAATGATAAAAAAAAAATCATTGCTTGTAGGTTAAGGTAATTGAGATGAATTTGAATTATCTGATGTGTGTTGATGTGTTTGTGAAGCCTAGATGGCATATGCAGGCAAATAAAAAATCTTGACTCATAGTTTCTTTTAAATTTACTTTAATTTTTTGTTGTTTATGCTTGGTATCCTGCTCAGTAGATATCTACTGTTCTCCCAATGGCTCCAGTTATGCTTTGATAACTAAAGTGTCATAATGAGTCTTAGGGGGTTGGGTTGTTTTAGTTGTGAGAAAAAAATATCCTACTGTCACAGGAATTGATCCCATGACCCTAGGATTGGAAGGCAAGCATCTTAACCACCAAACTATTCAACTCCACTCCACTTTCTTGCTCCATATCATTAATCATAATTTTGTCATAAAAATATGCTATTTTTAGAGTGTCTGGAATAAGTACTTTGAAGATACCGAGCTTCGGCAGCTGATAAAGCAGGATGTGATGAGAACTTTTCCCGAGATCCAGTTCTTTCAGTCGGAGGATGTGCGGAGCATGATGATTGACATGTTGTTCTGCTATGCAAGGGAACATCAAAGCATATGTTATAAGCAGGTAAGATGATCAATTATCTATTTTTTCTTTTTTACATTCGGTCACACCAAATAGGGCCAAGGGGCATTCAAGGTAAGTGGTTAGAATAGTTGAACAGAAAACAGTTGACTCAAATTTTAGAATTTGTGAGATAACAGGCTGGTAAAGAGAATCTGAATGACAAACAGTTTTTAAAATGTGGCTGAATTTAGGTATTTAAAGAGTGAAATGAGTGACACATCAGTCAGGTATTTCAATCAATCAGGTGTCTTTTTTCACTTGAAAGAACCACGTTGTAAAAAAACTCAGCGTTTATACTTTTGGAATTTCGGAATTGTTATTTTTTCCTCAACAGGGCATGCATGAATTACTTGCGCCAATGATATTTGTTCTACATTGTGATCATCAAGCATTCATCCATGCACAGGAGATTGAATCGCAGCTGTAAGTAAAACATGACCTTTAAATCTTAACCTTTGACCACACTGATCCCTGTTGACATAGTTCACCATATTTTTATTTTTTCCATATATGAAAAATACCAACTAGTTCACTACAAAATTAATACTGTACTGTATGTGTATTATATAGTATTACTTGTAAGCCCTGTCCAACTCTCAAATTTGTATTTCACAAAAAAAACTGTTGTATGCCCATATATAGACATGATGTGCACATATTTATACCATATTAAGCATATCACACGTTTTTTGTCAAATAAAATGTGATGGCTTGGACATGGCTTAAATGTTTGCTTGCATGTTAGCTGTGTACACTGTGTATGTATGTGGTGTTTGTACATAAATTTCTATATACATTTTATTTATTGTAAATATACCAAGCATACATATTAATAATACATAGTAGTGAAATGTAAAATTATGTATAGTGTATTTTTGTTTTTATCTATACCTATGTGTATATTTTTGGCTATAAGTTGGCTATAAGTATAACAAATCAATATCTACTATCATTAAAATAAGTATTTAAATTATATTTGCCAACCATTTGTTCTTGTTATAGACAAATTTTTATATGCATCTTCCGTTTCTTTTATAACCTTTGATTTCCCAGTAAAAGATTGTTCTTCTCTTATATTCCGTAAACCTTCCTCTCCCAATTCCTCTTCTTCTTCCCTCTCCATTCCATCTTCCCACTCACCAGCCTTTTTTTCTTTCCCAACACATCCATCAATTCCTTTCTATTCTGTTTCTCTTTCCAAGTCTTTCTCCTTCATTGCATTTCTAACCTCGTTTCCCTTTCCACTTCTTTTCCTGCAAGCCAGTTTGTTTAATGTTGTATTGATAATGATTACTTGATTTATTTGCAGGGTTTCAGGGTATAGCAAAAGGTTCGCTTCATACCAATTTGTTTGTTTATTTTTCATCTCATCTCTTAATTTTCGCTCCAGGCATGAGCTATTATAATAACAAATTTCACTAGCCCACTAGTCTGTAGTCTCTTAGTCGGAGATAAAGAACCTAGGATTAACTTTTACTAATGTGTAGTTATCACTTCAGTATTTTGTTGTCTACTAGCAGGTAAGGCTAGTCCTCAAAAAAGGGCTGTCCAGATCATGAAACTATGAATCATGGGACATGGGTTAGCAAACTCACTTATGCATGTCATCAAATCGATCATGCATGACATCAGATCATTTATACATCATTTTTTTTCTTCAAATGCTCTGTAGCAATAACCTGACCATTTTACATTAAGTTTCACTCTCATAGGTCTCACCTTTTTTGATGTGTTTTTATTTGATGTGGTACCAATCACAAAAATATATTGACCTTTTAAATGATTTAAGTACACAAAGGCATTCTTTTATTTCTTTGTGTTATAAGAACTGTTTTCATTATTAGTTCAACTTGTAGAAAAATTAGTTTTAGACTTGAAATAAATGGAGCAACTTAATTGTGCTTTAAGTTTAAAGTAATTGCTGATTACTTTTCTTTCTTAATTTTTTAATTTGATTATTAACCTAATGAAAGCATTTAAATTTGATTTTAATTAACACAATAATTACCAAATAAAAGAATACACCATTATCACAGGTGCATTCTCGCACACACAGCTTTAAGTAATCTGTTGAAGAATGTAAGCCTTCTGTATTTTTAATTGGCGTCCCAGACAACAAGCACTTGCTTGGCGTCCCAATCAACAAATACTTTATTTACTTTTTACAAAATGTACTACAAGATTTCTTCCAACAGGCTTGGGATACATGAAGAATCACACAATTGTGCATGGCAACCAAGTGTTACAATTATTTTGATGACTTTTTACCTTTATTAACAAAATTTAAATATTTACTAACGGGTTTTAATTGACATTTTAAAAATGTATTAACAATTAAATGGAGTGCTTTTCAAATCCTCGTTTCAAGTTAATTTAAAAAAAGAAAAGATATGCACATGTCACATTGTACAGTTTGGATTTACTGTTTACCTAATCATACCTATCGTAAATATTTAAAAAAAAAAATAAATTTAAATAAATACATTTATTGCAATTACAAACCAAGATGCATTTCAATAAGTCCAAAGGCCGAAACCTGTGTTTACGTACATCACAATTGCAAATTACTGTAAAAATATATTTTAGACACAAAGGTAAACAAAAACAAGACTAAATAATAAAAACTAAATGTTAACACACTATTGAAGGTATAAAATTGTTATACTGTTACTTCTTATTAATGTTATTACTATAAATCAATTTACTATCATTAATTATAGATCCATCACTATTATTATTAATTATTATTGAGAAATTTTCTCACTTAGTGTTACATTCATTAAGCATTGTGATAACAGTGGGGATTGCATATTGCTTCCTCCACTCATCATCATATTTCGGTTCAGCCTCAAGCAATGGCCATTTCTGCTAAGCCCCGCCCCTTGGATATTGTTGCTAAGGTCCCACAAAATCAGTTGTTAAGTTTGATTGACTCTCCGGAAAGCTTCATTCCTCACCCGGGGATATATACCAACCTTACAGGGGCGTGGAGCAGCCACTCCAAGACATGAGACACTTGCGCTACCTATTTTACTGAAAATTATTCGGGACTTGAACTACCATTTACCAAAATCCGGTGTCAGTTGAACTACTATTACGGCCATGTAACCTACCAAATTAAACTTGTACTGTTTCCGATGGCGAATGGTGGTTCTGTCTGTTCGCAATCCCTACTGTTCATGGCTGTGTATCAACGGTAGGTTTAGCACGGAGGTTAGCAAAAAATCTTTGCTAGTATCGTGTGAAAAATTATGCAACTTTAATACTGGATGGGGCAAGGACTTTAACTACCATATTTAGCTGGAATTTCCCACATTTGTGCTACCAAGTCCTCGCAAATATACCCTATACATGCTGAAACTCTTCCATAAATTCCCACGTTTGTGCTACCAAGTCCTCAAAAATACCCCCGTAAATGCGGCACCTACCTGTCTAGAAATATTAAAGAGTGAGCCCCCCCGGGATTCCTTATTTAAATCATTACCAAAAACTCTCCACAGTGCTCTTTTTTCTATTTGTTCTGTCGATTTCTTTTAGATTCAAGCATGGCTAACTAAAAAGATAGGTTTTTGAATTAGTTGTGAATTCGAATAGAACTTGAGTAGGCATATTGTTCACAATTCTTGAAATGCATATTTTAAAAAAGGAAAGCTAATTCATTACGGTTTGCATCCCAAAGAGGGGGCTTATTGTACACTTTTCTGTGCTCTAAACAATACACATACAAATAAGTGCCTGATAGTAGTATTAAAATAAGTATTACAAAATAGGTAATTGCCTGGTCATGCCTTCTCAACATATTGGCAAGAAAACAAATATTATCATTTTTTGCTAGAGTTGTATGATTCATGTTCGTGTGAAGCAAAGTTCATAGGTAATAGAAACAAACCAACGATCATTGCATTAATCACCACTGCTTGTTTACGATTTAATTACCATTCTCAAATAACTCATAATAATATAAACATAAAACACAACATTGGCTTAAACGTAAAATATGCGGAAACGAACTGTCTTAATTATTAAAATACATATTGAGAATGCCATCGTCCATATGAGGCTACGTAAAGTCAAGGGGACTTAAAAATGTGGGACGTAAAATGGAGGTTCTACTGTAATCCAATAAATTTTTCAACATTGCACATAAAAAACAAAACAAAAGATCATTTTTTGTATGTGTGTTGTTTTTCATTAATATCGTTTGTATTTTTAAGATAATCTAACATAAATTACAATATTTCTTCTTATAGAGATGATGTTACAGAAGTATTGGACCCAGCCTATATAGAGCATGATGCATAGTGAGTAATTAACTTCCTGATTCCTATGTTTGGGCAAGACACTTTGTGCGTGATTAATTCCTTATCCAAATGAATTATTGTACTGTATTTTGTTGTATTGCTGGAAATAAAAGATTATTGTGTTGTATTGTATCGGGAATAAAATTGCTTTGTAACATAATTATTAGCGGGGTGGGGAATGTTATATTATTTTTATACTTTTCTATAAGACACCTGCTACGTTTGGGTGTCTTTAGTTTTGTAATAGCACCTACCTAGAATAGTTTGTTGGTTTATCTTTTGCCCACAAGATACAATTCCTTCTATTTTAGTGTCGCTTTTTTTTTTTAATGAATGCCAATTATATTGGGGCTCAATTCCACTAGACAGCCAGAGAACAAACAGCATGCACACCTCTATAGCGACTTTCAAGTCTTAACTGAGGGAGTGCCTTAGCTAAAGCTCAATGGCATATTTAGGAATTTTGAAATGGGGGTGTGAAGGTGGAGTGGGTAGCCTCGATGGTTAAGTAAGAGGGATGCTAGGTTACAAAATAAAATGATATCGGATGATTTTTAACTATTTGCTTGGTTGTTTTTGCTTCGGACATTTTCACATTTATGTGGTCCGACATTAATAAATGACTTTACTATTCTAATTAGAAACCAAAACTGCTAAAGACCACGGAAACCCTGGTCCCAAAAGTGGTCCTTAATTGGAGGGAGACCATATTGATAAAAGGAACCAGATGCGCTTGATATTGCTATCATTGTTTAAATATTACACATATTTTACTCCCATTTCCATTTCAGTTGTATGTTTACCCAGTTGATGGAGACGATGGAGCCGTCTTACCGTCACGGACGAGATGAATTTATGTCACGGGCAAAGCACAAATTTGATAAGCCTCTGTTCAAAAAGTCGGATGAGTGTGCGACATCTACGCCCATTGTGCTACGTTTGACACGGGTACAGGAAGTGATCCTAAAGCAACAGGATTTCCAATTGTATCAGCATCTCAGTCGATTGGAGATTAAACCTCAAATTTATGGCATGTATGTTTTCCCAGTTATAATTATTTTTTCTCAATTTCATTCTCATAAAGTGTTGTTGTAGGATAGAATGGCACCAGTTAAAGTCAGTTCCTGAAGAATTAATTTGAGCAACCTGTACTGAATATATGCTACATTTCGTCACTTGCAAACCGAGTAAATATAAAATATTATCATTGGCATAGGCTGGGGTTTCAAGGGTTTCTATGCACCCTTACCTCTCTTCCCCCAACCCCATGGTGGAAATTAGTTCATCCTAACTGGTTAAAACAATGAAAATGACCATTACAGTTTCATTGGAGTTGGGATTTAGTTGGGCATTCTCAATTTTTACCACCTAAAAATAAAAAACTAATTTCGTTTCTTGTATTTACTGATATTTACTGAAATACATTAACTCAACAAATTCTGATATTTGTTTTTGTTATAAAACTGTATTTTTGTATACTATCTTGGGACAGGAATAATTGAAAAATTGGAGAATGTATATTTAGAGTATACGTGTTTTTTTAATCGTTTTTGCAGACGATGGGTACGGTTATTATTTGGACGAGAAGTCATACTCCAGGATCTGCTAGTATTATGGGATGCCATTTTTAGTGATAGTGCAACTTTAGATTTAGTGGATTATATATTTGTGGCAATGCTTATTCTTGTTCGAGAATTGTGTAAGTATTCACAATGTATTATTATATTCAGTAGTTGATAATGATAAACTTCATGATCATTGCTATTTGCTATTATTGGTTTTTTTCTTTTACTTATTTTGAAATAAGTATTCATTTTGTTTCAGTAATTACTAGTGACTATGCTAAGTGTATGACGATACTAATGAGGTTTCCTCCAGTTGGCGATGTTCATTTTCTTATCAACAAGGCATTGCATCTACGTGATCCAACAGTGAGTTGATTCAGTCCATCATCCTTATCCTACAATCCCATGTGATAATATTGATCAATCCTTTCACACAACCTACTTATCTCAGGTATAAGCTAATCCCCTACATTACACCCATTACTAGCCTTTCCTCAAGCAGAAGTCCAGGGTATATCGATTGAGTAGCATAGGTGACATATGTAAATACTTAATGAAAGGAAATAAAAGAGTGGCTTTTAATTGGCATGCAATGCTGAAAATTTGCCTTTTGATTGGCCATCCTTGAAAATGATTAAATGCTCTCAGTTCATCAATTTTCTTGTGAAAAGGGGATTTTCCAGGTGTTATACTGAGCATAGTACTGAATTATATTTAATATTTATATTTGAGGTAAATAAAATAACAGTTTTTTTGATTAGTTTTATAATGTATGTTTTCTCTCTTTCTCCCACTTCCAGAAATATGCTCGACCATCTAACTACCAATTTCAGGTGCTTTCAACTCTTCAGGGCAATCGGGCAACTAGCCAGAACGGCAAGCAAATTCAAAACCTTAAAAATAAGACAACAGCTGTTGTAACATCGGGTTTTAACAGTCTAAAACGTATAACAGCAAAGGGCAGAGTTGGTGAAAATAGGAAATTCCAAAAGGCTAAAAGTGATCCAACTGACCTCACAGAAGGTAAGTGATTTGTGAAAATGTAGAATGTAATGACTCCATGTTCCATGTCTGAACGTTGTGTGTTACATTCTCTCTTGAAATCTGTAACGGTTGTCAGCGGAATCTACGTTCAGGCAAAAACAAGGACATTGGTGCCTCAGTTTTTGTGTTCATGACATTCTCTGCGTAAAAAAAAATTTAATTTATTTATAATAAGATGCAGAACACACACAATGCCAGTCACAGATTAGTGAATTTGTTCTACATTCTCAATGAAAAGCTCCCTAATCTTATAAAATATTACTACTTTTGAATATTTGTATTATGTCAATATTTAGCCATGATGATGACATATCACACCCGAGTACAAAATGAACGTTTATGAGTATATCATCATTGTTCAAGAAAATTTGAAATTAAAAAAAAAACAAAAAACCAGAGAGTTGAACCTTTTTTTAGTCTTCATACTTTTCTTTATGTTAACCATATTAGATTACTCAATTTCACGTTTATTATATAAAAAAAAAAATCAGCTAAAATACTTCCCTCTTTTGACATTGAATTTAAAATGCTTAAAACCCAGGCACTCCACATCCTCTTGGCGGTCCATCTGATGGTATAGCGGTCACTACCCGGCCACTCAACACTGCCAAACCTACATCAACAAAGGGAGGAGCATCTACCAACCCAACGCCAATGAACTCCCTCACACCTGCCGGCACACCAGTTGATGACACTCCGAAACCTATAGCGAAGTCAACTCCACCATTGAAAATTAAAAGCAAGAAGAACCATACTAGGGAGGTAAGTAATCAGGCGCGTAGCCGGGGAGGCTGTGAACCATCATTCACAGCCTCTAGATTAAAAAATTTTCTGGGTGAGGATTCCCCTGAACCCCCCTCCCCCCAGCAGCACATGTCATAGAGCATGTGCCTACGGTACACATTGGGTCGTGGAGATACCCGTATAAAAAGGTCACCTTTGGCTAAAAAAACACCCACTCCCCTGTCTCTTATACACATCTAGATGTGAAGTCTGGCTACGGGCCTGGTAATGCTATTATTTATAACTAGCATTATTATCCTCATCATTATTACTACTGCTGTATTAGATATATAGATATGTACTACAAGCCTTTCAGAACATATTGCTTAGCACTGTGTGCTTGAAAGTTAGTATAATGCCAGTTAATAAACGTAAAATTACTAAAATATCTTATATTTTACTGATTCCAGTTAGAAAATCATTATCCATTGCCATTTTACATTTTTATTGTTAATTAAAGGTGTCTGTTGTGTGCTAAAAGGAACTTAGAACATTAAAAAATATGTTATTAGTTATCAATTGTGAATGAGTAAAAATTGTTTTATCCAATTAAACAAACATAAATAATACTGTACAGCTCTTATATTCAAAGACACTGGTAATCAACTCATAGATATTGTTGTAAAGCCTTTTAAATGAGTTATTCAATATAACAAATGCGGGTGGTTTTTTTTTTTTAAGGGTTTTACATATTTTATCAAAGATTTTATATTTTTAAATTTTTATAAAGTGTTTTTCTTTAGTTTTAATAAAATACACATGCAACAGATATTGAAAACATAATGATTTCCTATGTAAAACACTGATATACATTTATAGTCTGTTTAAACTTTGACCCATAGGAGTATGACGAATTAGATCAACAAGTAAGACACCTTCAGGGGCGACTTAATGATATGCATGCGCTACGGCGGTACTGTGCCAGTAAAATGGAAGCCCACCTCAGTAAGTTACAGGATGAAGAAATCTATTTTTACTTTCAGGACATACCTGTAATTGCTGAAGGCATATATTATGTTTTATTCACCAATGTTTAATAATCATAGCCACAATTACTACTATATTTACAACAGTCTCATCATCACCATCTCTATTGCAGTACAGTATTCAAAATAACAAGAAAGTAATAATTAATGATAATGATGATATTATTTTTGACATGTTTGTTGTTATTTTGCTACCAGTGCAAATGCAGGATGAGTTACTTAAACATGGCAATGATGGTACAGAAGATGAGCTATTATTGTCTATTGCTGGACTAAAACAGGTAAAGATTTAGCAAAGATTTAAATACTGATTTTTGGTGTTTTCAAATATTTGAATATGTAATCTTTAATATTTGTTCAACATTTCAAACCTTAGTTATTGGGGTGTAAATTTACAGAATATAAACAAGATTTTAAATACAGTAATTGCCTTTGCTATTTGTGCATACGTTGTTTAACAGTGGCGCATTCAAGGGGGGGGGGGCAGCCGGTCCGGTCCCCCCTTCCCACATTCTGAGTTCTTTAAAATTTAAGATATTGGAAAAAAACGAAAATTGCATTCTAGATGGCCATTTCTGGCCATCTAGAGGTGACATAATCATACATTTTTTATCTCAGTCCCAGCCATGGATGGGGGCAATACCCTCATCTATGAAAGTCCCTCCCTGGGCCCCCTCTATTTCAAATTTCAGGATCCGATACTGTTCAATGTACTTAACTACCAAAAACACATGAGAAAACTGGTTTGTTGGCAATTTCTAGCTAAGACTGGTACATGAATATTTTATTGTAAAATGGGGGGTTTTTTGCCATTTTTACAGTTCATTTACTCAATGTTGGCATGTGCGACAACTTGATTATTTTGTCACGAAAAACCTTCTATTTGTAATTGATATAGATAAACTAATATGTGCCTCTCCCTGCTGATTGCACCACACCACATCTGAATTTGTAATTTACCCTCAAATCCCTCCCCAACCACCCAAAAGGAAACCTATAAATACTAATAACAGAACATAAAGCCTTCCTCAATTCCTAATTAATTTTACACCCCCAGGTGAAGGACATTTTAAATGGTACGCTCCGATTCTCTCAAGGCATCACTGATGATGAGGAAGTCGAAATCAATATCAACGAGAATCATTATGGCGGGCCAAGTCACCGGTTAAAATCAGTCAAGCACACAGACGAGTCGCGTGAAACATCTGTAGAAGATAAAAATGGGAATGACAATGTTGAATATGCGTCATCAAATACGGACGATCAAATGAGTCTAAACTCTAATCAGAACTCCAGTACGAGTCCTCCATGTTTTACTGAAGATGGCGTGATTAGTAAAAGCGATTCAGACGAAGATGAAGATTCAGAACCGGTGAATATTGACGACCTTGGTGATGATGACGGTGTTGAGATCATAGGAGGAATTTTATCATTTGAAGATGACATTGCATCTTCTAGAAGTGATGCAACTAATATTGAAAGAACTATTCAACGCAATTAATGAAAGTAGATACATATCAATGCATATTCAGAATATAATGCTATTCTAACAGATTATTATATATTATATTATATTATATTGTTTGTAAATGTTTTACTATATCTTCATGTGCTAGCATCCCACCCCTGTACTATTATTATTTCTACCACCAAATTTTATCTATATGACGGTTGGCATAGAGGTTTAATTTTTGGGCTCTTGATGTTGAGGTTAGAACACTTGTTTGTGTCCTTGTCTCGTTTTACCCCGGAATTTAAAACAGTGGCACCACAAAAGGGCTGGAGGCCCCATAAGGTATGTCCCCATTACCTCCAGCCCCTTAATTTTACATACTGTATGCTGCTCCTTAAGGGGCTTTAGTCGATTTGGGGGCTCGTGGGCTTGGAAGCCCTGGCGTATGGCCCTGACAACAATTGCCAATTAATATCTTGGGGCCCCTCACATTCCTGGGCTCATAGGCATTTTGCCATTGGTTTATATAGGTTCTTGGTTGGGCATGAAACACTGCCGTATGTTTTTTAATTGGAACATGAGAATAGCCCTAATATTTCTCATGGCTGTTTGACCAAAGAAATTTACTGTGCTGGGAGACAGCATTGCTAACTAGCTCATTGTGCAGTGTGAGTGTCAGAATGGTACTCCAAATGTTGCTCCTTCAACTTCCACAGCAACCCATTATCTGCGCTCAATCTTGTAATGTTAAAATGACTTTTTTTTTAATATGCAGTATAAAACACCAATTAGATTTGTGTGTGCTATAATTCAGACAGTCAAACAAAAACAAAAACTATAAGCGAAATTTAATTTTGTGAAAGGCATTTTGGGTAAACATGGTCAGTAATATGTTTTGAACCAGTGTAATTGGTTTCTTATTTCTTCCAATTAGTAAGTATACTTTGAAAACTATGCCTGATAACGAGACTGGGGACTTTTATAATGTTTCTAATTTGGGAAATCCATGTCCGAGCGTTCTGGCATCTAATTTTAATTTACTGCGCATGGTCATACCCATTGCCAGCTAACGTCCATGAGACAACTGTGAATACAGTAGCAAGAACATGTACATATCATAAATTTGTGATAGATGGGTTAGTTTCCAGAGTAACCTACCTTGCTCACGTAAGTTCCGCGAGACTCTCACAACTTGCGTGAGGCTTGGGAACCCTTTCATTTGTTGTTGATAATTTTTTTTTTTAATACTGCAGCTTTTCAGGATTTGAACCTAGATTTGGGATTTGAAGGGTGAGCATTTTAGCCTCCAAAGCTACAAATTTAATTCAGTTAAAGCTGTGTTTTATTGCCTGTGCAAACTATACCCAGGAAGTTGTTCCTAAATATATGAAAGCTTTGGTGACTGATTGAAAGGTTGAACAAAATGCAATGCAATATGTATTTAGATATTTGTGCAATTTGTTGGAAAGACTTAAGGGAGTGTGAAAGAATTTTTTTTTTTTTTTTCGTTTTATTTTTTTAAATGTGTCCATGTTAGTGCCAGTGGCGTAATGAAAAGACCCAAGGCTCCGACTAAATCTTATTTGGGCCCTTCTACTTTTGAGGCCACATAAGAACTCATTGGGGTGGTACAGGGGGCTTTGGCATTTTAATGTTGTATTTGATGTTTGTTTGTTACACAGTTTGTTCCGTAAGGGGCCCTGTTTGATGGATTTTAGGGCCCATGGTCCTGACAAAAACCAGATTTAATATCTCAAGGCCCTTTAAGGTCTGTGACCCGGGATTTAGCCAGTGAAGAGGTATTATGTCACTGGTTGGTACAATAACAAGACAACAAATATATAAGCTGGAAGGCAAAATGACTACTGTATATTAAAAATTGTTATATTTGAAATACATATTCTCCATATATATCAGAGTATAGGTTTATTGTCTTCAGCAATTTGTAACAAAAACATGTTACCAATTGTATATTTATATATAAAAATAGCACATAAGATGATTGCACAAAAAAACAATATAAAATAGAGATAATGAATGAAACCATGTTGTATTCCAGCCTGGTAAAATTTGTTTGCCTTAGGGGTACACGTAAGTAAGTGATTGTCTCTACACATATTGGAATTGTTTACAAAAAAATGGCTAAATGAAATGAATGAATTTATGAATTAATGTATGAAGGAATGATCAAAGTATTTAAAAACTTAATGAATTCCATTATAAGTATTTCAAGTTTTATATACCTCATACAGGTACATAGATTCTAGGCATCTGATTGGTTAAGAAGCGGGCAATAGAAAGTACTATTACCTTATGGGATAGTACTTTTTTGCCCAGCTGCATGATGTGCAATCTCTAGGCCGCTTTGCTTTACAATTTATGACCCGCACGAACGGTAAAAGAAGAAAGTAGTAGCCTAATATGAGGAATATAAAACAAATGTTGACTGCTCTAGATCCAGAGAACTGTGAAATCTATAGCCCCCTCATTTTGACTGCTTATGAGGAAAATGGTGAAATATATTGCCCTGAGGTGATGTGGAGACCGTCGCCTATCTGCTTTCCTTCAGCCTTCACGAAGATTGGCTATGGTCTCATCACCTCAGGGCAATATATTTCACCATTCCCCTCATGAGCAGTCAATATGTATTTGTATAATATTATTCTAAAGGTTTAAGGAGAGGTTGATTGTGGATTGTTTCTTAATAGGGACTTGCCTCTAAATTTTCTACCAGTGGTTACTTGAGATTGTTTAATTCTATGATGTTTATAAAAGATTTTAGTTACTACTTAAAGCCGGTTAGAAATCATCAAATTTTTGTTCCTTATTAAACCAATTGTATGTCTTTAAAGCTTTGTTCATACTATCAAATTCTATGCGACAAGTAACTATGATGTGCCCCGGGTGCAATATAACATCATGCCCATAATTCATAAGTCAGGCAGTATTCAACTTCATCACAAAAGGTTTGATCAAACATTTTTAGTCTGACCATGGACCAAGGTCCATTGTCTGATAAGCACAAATCAGATAAAATAAAACTCCTATTACTTTGTATACATATTGTATACAAATAAACAAAAATTCCTTTCACTTTTTTTTATTTAATGTTTATTTGAAAATTTATTTGCTAATTTAGTAAAATATTGTCAGTTAATCTACGTACTTGATATAATATGGTTTGTATTTTTTTTATTTATTATGTTAGACATTTAATTACATCTTTTGATAATTTAATTAAATGTGAATGTTCCTGATCGTTTTATAGCATTATGGCAATCATATTTTGATTCATTTTGTTAAAAATGTTTTAGTATTGAAAAATTATGATGTTCACAAAAGTTATCTTGATAGAATTCATTGTGTATCATGTTTCTGTTGGTCGAGAACAGAAATATAACACAAAAAAAATTGCATATATTGATAAATGTTAACATTATAATGGAATCAATGTTTTAATATATGCTGTTATGATTGTGTTACATTGTTATTATTATGTTTGTTCTTTTATGTATAATAAACTTGTTAAATGGCTTCAATACTGTTATCTATTAGAATATGGACTAAAGTATTTTAAATAATACATACTTGTATAAAAGTAACATTTATTTTAAAGAAGAAATTATGATTGTGTACATAGAGTAGTAATAAAATACATGATGAAGCAATGTGATAAAGCTTCTAAATCAGTTTGTTTGTGAACAGGTGTGATCATTAGATGTGCTATGCAAATCCTATAATGGACCTTTCCGCTAAGCCCCGCCCCTTGGATATTGTTGCTAAGGTCCCACAAGGCGACAGTGTTAAAACATACGCGAACATGTGCGTTTGTGGGACAACACGTGTGTTTGTGAGATGCGCGCGCATTCCTAGCGCTGTTCTGATTAGTCAGTTGTTAAGTTTGATTGACACTTCGGAAAGGTCTATTTCAGCTGCGACACCCCAAGATCTATCATTGGCCTTACCACAAAAAAGTACAGATAGGAAATTTTGATAAAATGCAGATAAATTTAAAAATCAAGAATCGTTTATATTGTTTTCATAAATATATAAAATGAATTTTAATACAATGCGGTATTTACATATTTGCTTTAAAACTTATATAGAATGTGTATAGAAGTTTAATAGAACTCCCCAATTACAATGTCAAAAATAATTCATTCTATAGAAATTCATTTATAATAATAAAGAATTTTATAGAAATTGTATATTTTACATTCTATCCACTTACCTGTATAATTTGTCTACTTTAAATTTTTCAGAAAATGGTTCAAAATTACATTAGAAAATATCCGAATTAAACAAGAATTCCATAAGATTTTTCTAAAAGAAAAATAGAAATTCTAAAGATACTACCTGTATATTTAAAAACTCTAGAAAAAAATATTTAATTAAATCTAGAAATTGTATAGAATTTATTTAAACTCTTTCTATAAAAGTATATACATTTTTTAAAGTAATTCTCTATAGAATTATATTTCTATAGAACTATCTATAGAGAATGGATTTTTCTTTTTGTATAGAGAAAAATATTGGATCAATTTTCTATAGAATTATAATTCTATAGAATTATCTGTAGAGAATGGATAGGTTTTATAAATAGATAAATAATTCTTGGATCAATTTTCTATATAATTCTATAAAAACTCTTAAACCTCTATGGACTTTCTATAGGACTCTATAAAATATTTTACTACGGGGCCTCCACTCCAAAGGGATCCTGGAGGGACCCTGGGGCATTTATACTACACTGGGCCTTAACGAAGCCACCGGGGCCCTCTTACTACTACCTAGCACTTTGCTACATTGCTATCACACAGATTTTGGAAAACTTCAAACGACAGAAAAAGAAAGTTTTAGTGGTTTTTAATGCCAAAAGGATTCAGTCTACTCCTACCAGACTTTTTGCTTTTGAAATTTCAGTGGAATAAAATTATGGAGTTATACAAATTTTAAATATATTTAGTGCTATATTGCAGACATATTATAACTTGCAATATCTAAAACTAACAAAACTAAGAAAAAGAGTACTGTAGTGTATAAATATAGGCCTAGATAAAAACAATTTAGGAATATATCTAAGGATATAATTGCAAACTGACATAGGCTGAATATAAAAAGTTTTGGAGAGGATGATTGTTTGATATAATTACTACATGAGAAAATTGTTATTTAGAATGGAAATGGAGTCATAACAACAAAAAAATGCCTGCAGTCCATCTATTGGTTATGCAATAAGTGGTCGGAGTTCACCCGGGTGTTCACATCATCACTAATTATTGTAATTGGAAATTCACAGTTTGTGGACCTTGAACTGTAAACCCACACCTACCATGCACCTGGCTATTGATTATATTTCCGCTTTCCCTTCGGCTTCGATTCATCGGCGCTTTATCTCTGATCTCAGATACCACTTCTCAAATCATTAAAAAATAAGGACCTATCGCTCTCTATAGTGCTATCCCGAATGCAACATACTTTTTTGTCTCTGGACGACGATATTACCTCTCGTGACGACAAAATAAGGTTAGAAATTTCTAATTTATTTTTCTTTTCCAATAATGCAATTCTCATTGTTCAGGCTCTCTTATGTTCTTTATTTCCTAATCTAATCAACGTCGAGTAATGGGTGTCTATTAAAGGAAGACCAAATGCCCAAAAACGAAGACACCTATTTTTTCTCTTTTATGATGATAATACACCAGGCTGTCACAAAATCAAAAATACGAAATTTGTTGGGCGTCTGTTTGTGAAATTTTCAAAGGTCTTCGTTTTATAAACACCCTCTATGGGTGTCTACAAAACGAAGACCGAAGACCCGAAAAACGAAGACCTCCAATTATTTCTCAATTATCTTATCGAAAGTATTTAAAAATCATCATAAAAGAGTTGCCTAGTACATATATAGGTTTGATTTCTCTACAGAGTTTTCTTGTTTTATTGCAGTGCCAATTATTGTCTATGTATGTAAACATTCTCTAAAAATATCTTTGTAAGCAACGTACATGACTATGTGTGTGTGTGTGTGTTTGTGTGTGGGTGGGTGGATGGGGTGCGTGTGTGTGTTTGTGTGTGTGTGGGTGGGTGTGTGTGTGTGTGTGTATGTATGTATGTATATGCATGGAGGAATAAATTATTCCTCCATGGTATATGTATATGTATAAAGAAAGGAGAGGGAATCTAAAAATTTTTAAAAATATATTCTTTTAACGTATCTGCCGTCACAGTTTAAATATAGTGCTGGATTACCAGATACTCCCTCTTAACGTGCCTTATTTTTAACTTGCTGTATTATTTTGGACTGTCCCTTTAATTTTGTTTGAATAAGGAACAGGAACAAGGAACCAAATAATAGTTAACTGATATCAATAGTGTTGATATGCCTCTATAAACACAGAGAGTAGATGGTCGGAATTTCCCAGTTATCTGGAACGTGAATTTGAAACCACACCCTCAATGCATCTGTCGGCTAGAGACTATTTCATTTATTCTTATTTATTCTTTATCTATTGCAATTATCGTTACTAGACTTCTTGAGGAGGTAAGTTCATAATTTTTGTTGTTTAAAGGCAATTCCTTAGTAATTCTATAGTTTATTTTGAAACCAAAATCTTCACGCTATTTTTTAGCAAAACTCTGGACAAACCGACGACGACAATTGCGAAATAGACACGTTTGATTTCACTACGGAGATTTATCGTTTTGCAAAACATAGGAAAAGAGGATAGAAGACAAAAAAATTAAAGCAAAAACAATGACCTTTTTTTGTGTTAACGTAGAAAACCCAAAATCTCCATGAGAGACTCAATGAGAAAAGAACGCCAATAGGCTACACATCCAACCCTGCACACTTTTTCAGATGTATAGCCTGCCAACGAATATTCAGCCATCAATGAAATATAAAAACAAAACATGGACCTAGTTTTATGCTGTATGCCACATTGTCAATTTAAAGGGATTTAAAAACATTTTTTTTAAATTTTATTATTAGATTCATTATTATTGATAATAATGGAAGAAAACTTTGCTCTTTCATTTTCTTTCTTAGAAATGGATAGATTTCAAGAGCTTCAAAATTATTCATTTCACGCAACGTGGGATTTGGGCAGAAGTTTGGTTAAACCGTTTAATATATTAGTAAGACAAATAGATGAGCACATTAGAGATGAGACACACGAAACATTTGTAGAGGAAGGATTACTATTTAAAAGTTACCTTTACATGTCAGGAATTGGTGGAACAGGAAATAAAGACACGGAAATTGCAAAAGACTGTCTTAAAGATGTGAGTACCCGACTGGAAGCATGGAATGAGTCCCCAAAGAAGGACGGTTTTTGTTCAGTCGCGTATGCCCTTGAAGCATGGGTTGATATGGATAAAACTAAAAAAAAACTTAATGATTTGAAACAACTGCATCTCAAACACACACAAGCAACTAAAGCGTGTTTTGAAGCATGTAATCATTATATTAAGGGCTTTGCTTTATCAAGGTTGGGTATTAATCGCTATGATGAGTGCGTTGAAGAATTCCGTCAAGCGACTGAAAAATGTCCAGACGATGTTGAATATTTATTTTCTTTAGCATTCATGACACGCCGTGTTCATGGGTCCGAGGTAGGTGTGGAATATAAAGACATGCTACTTAAGGTTCTGGAGAAAAAAGATGATTACCTGTTTGCTAAAGTAGAATTAGCAAATTTAGCTTATATAGAAGGAAATACAGATGGCGCTACTAACCTTTTAGAAGATATCACAAGTACACTTGCCAATGAGCAAATTATTACACCTGAAAATATGAAGATCGTAGGACACGTTATGAAAATCTACTTACAATTGAATAAACCTGAAAAGGCAGAAGCCTTGTACCTAATTGCAGAGCACAACGGTAAAGTGAATTCATTTGTTACACACAAGAGAGCGACAGTGGCGCGTTATCAGAAGGATTGGAAACATTATGAGATATTTCTTAATGCTGCTGTGAAAATGAATCCCTTCAATCTAGCCGTAAGCTTGCCATTAGCTATAAATAATTTAAGAAAAAGTGAGGCTGATGATGTAGATGTAATCAAAATGTTCAGTAAGATATTAAGTGATCGCTCAAGTGACGAACTAGGAGAGGTACAAATTCTATCTACTTTTGGAAATATGTTGATGAAAAAACGCAATGAAAAAGCTGCAGTTGTTCGATTCGAAAATGCAATGGAAAAAGCATTTAAATATTGTCAACGGGGTAAATCACAGAAAATAAAGTTTTCACACGAGATAACGCTTTCTGTTCAAATCTGCGTTACAAATCTAAGAAATTATTGGAAAAAGACGGAAAATAGAAATGCCGATAATATTTGTAATCTTGCAACTCTTGAAAATAATCTGGGAAATCTATATCTTGCTCGTTCGTATTGTAATGATGCATTGGAAATGAAGCCTAATGAACAGCAAATGTCCACACTGATTTTCATACTATCAGAAATTCAGATTCAGGTGACTACTGACTCAAAATCTTTATCGGAAGTAGAAAAAAATCTGAACACAATAACGTCAGCAGAATTTAGCCAAAAGGTGACAGATTTTCGAGGAAAATTAGACTTTAAGAAGGGAATTTTATATGAACTCAAACATTTTCCATTCGGCAACTACACCAACGCAGCTATTTCTGGAAATGTAAGGGCGGTACAGCGCCTCTTCTCTGCCTTAGATATAATGGATAATACAAGCTCTCAATACTATCAAATATGTGCCTCCATTAATATGTCGATCATGAATATTAAGGTAGCTGCGGAGCGAGATAGTATGCAAGACAGACTTAAAATGGTCTTGGAATCAGCTTTTACTGGGGAGCAAAGGAATCTCAGAAAACAGCAATTTGAGATGGAGAAACTATTCTTCAATGGCGCCGCAGTTTGTAATGCAGACGCTGTTATTCAGACTGCCAGTAACTTACTAAACCGTGCAATGCATGAATTAACACAGAGGTATCGCCCAGCAAGATTTAAAGAGAACAGAACTCTTGATTTCTTTTGCATCTATGATAACTTCTATAAGGAACAGACTAAAGAAAAGGTTAAATCAAAACTCACTGAGTATAAATGGGAAAATATCGATGATGAACTAATATCATTCCTAGTAGAGGTACGTATGTGAAGAATAGTAATTCATCTCAATATATTACCAGTTGGTTAAAATCGATAATTACAATCATATGCCTGCCTCTTGATAATATATATATAAAATCGATGATATATAAATATATAAATAACATGTTGTATAAACAAACTGTGCCACGTAGTTCCAAATAGAAAATACAATAAATACGAATACAAGAAACGATAGTAAGTGACTTAGAATATAAATTTATTAGCAACCAATATTTTTGTTGGACAGTAAATATAAACTATATAAACGCAATTCGCATTTTTTAAAAGCGTTTAAATCAATTGCAGCAAGGTTAAACGTAGTATTACCGTGATAAGCATGAACAATTTTCGCTTTTTCGCTTTTAGTCACTGAATTACTATAAACATGGAGGAATTAGTTTAGAAACTAATTCCTCCATGCTATGAACTAATACAAATGCACTGAACTGCGCAGAGTCGGCTATATAGCGCGCAATGAATAGTCTCGTATCACCCTCGCTATTACCATTGCAGTTATATTTCGAGTCTGACTAATGTCGGGTTAGTCCTGGTTAGTTTGTGTTTTTTTTCTTCATAATTATTTATTATTATTATTAGTTATATTATTTTAGCATGTTATATTTGTTTTCCTTTTGCAATTAGCATCACTTGCACACGCACACACACACACACAAATGGAAATGGTCTATGATTTTTCAAACCTTATTGTGACGGACTTATTGGTCTTTTGCGAAATGTTAGCGTAATGGTAAAATCCAAATTACATCGTAAACAGAGGAGGAATATGACAAAGAAAAAAAAAACTCAGCCCCCACCGGGACTCGACCAACATTATAATTATAATAATGTTGGATAGAATATAATTCACAGACAGTACGTGATTTGATTATATTTTATATTTTTACAGATACAACCATGCACTAACCCACAAGATAACAATTGGATCATGGCTTTCAAGAAATTTAACAACACTGATAAGCACCAGACGAAAAACAAGCAGTATGAAAAATATAAAGTTTATCCAGAAGACCCAAGCGCAAACCGAAACGAATATCAAGAAAAACAATATTCCTCTATCGATCTTGCAAGAACAGTTTGCAACAACATTGCTTACATTTTAGACAACTTGAACGGATTTTCATTGGTGTTTTGAGTATGATGTTCGCGACTAAACTGACAACCAAACAAAGACTGTGCCTTAGTGGTAGCTGAGGGGAGGGTGTTATGATCACCTGACAGCAAGAAACTCGAGTTGAACAAAAGGCGGCTGAGCTCTATGAAGTCAACGGCCAACCATAGTTTAGTTTAAGTAGTAGCAGGACTATATCATCCCACCTATCATCCTTAATATAAGTATAATGTTATTAATAGGCTTAAAATTCTGATATTTAGTAAATAAAATAATAAGAACTTAGATGTTATCAAATGATTAGAAAATTATTTAATTGTGATTTAAAAAAATGATTAAATTTTGGTTTAGACGTCAGAAGAATGTGAATTTCGATATGGTTTCGTAGTCAGATTTTCGAGAAAAACTTCAGCTACCCGTATTTCTCGACTGAGACGTCAATGGGAGCTGTAATTTATATGGCAAGGAGATGGTGCTACCCTTAATTCGTATTAAGGGAATTTACGCCCACAAACCTTGTAGTTATTAATATTTTGGTTAAAATAGAAATTTATTATTTTTTGGTGTCGTCACACTCACGCTATAGTTAGTATGTATACGTCATAAGCTAGACGCAGGGTTCCCGGAATGCCGCCCTCAGCGGCGTGTGCGAAGCAACTCAGACTCAGAAGTGGAACGTGAATTTCGATTTGGTTTTGTAGTCAGATTTTCGAGAAAAACTTCAGCTACCCGTATTTCTGAACTGAGTTTTTGGAGGAGTGGCATTGTGCATGATTGAATCTGTGTGTACGCATATAATATAAGCAATTTTACCATCATATTTATTTACCAGCCGTCATTAGCAGAGCTCAGTCTACCTTCTTTTAGCAGAACCGCTAAATCGGTTGGCCGGACGTTCCTAGCCTTTGACAGAGGGCTGTGGAAGAATAAGGTCGAAAGGTGTGACAACCAATAGTGGTGTAGGCGTAGGCCAGACGAAAACATTTATGCATATGTAGCCTACAATTACCACAATTTACGATGTTTTGTCATCGTGTACTATTTCATTGTTATATTAGTTAATATTGCGAAAGAGATGATCAATCCCCTTAACAGACATAGGTATATGTTTATTGCATTTTTCTTAACAAATATGGTAATACAAAACCCACTTAACAGACATAGGTGAATGTTTATTGCATTTTTCTTAACAATATGGGTAATACAATTCTCTTATACTTTATAATATGACTTTGCCGAGTAAAACTAAATGAATTTACTAACTCAAGAAATTGATCTGAATTAAAACATTTTGTCTTCTTTGCTATTTTTTTTTTCTCGACTTCTTTTGTTGGCAGTCTGAATATACGGAATTCCAGTATCATTACAATTATGAAAAAAAAACCCAAAATAAACATTGTTTATAAAATGTAGGCCTAACAATAATAATAAAAAATACATGTAAAATAACTATCCACAATCAGCCATGGACTTAGTTAATAAATGATACATAAATTCTATGAACAAAAATGTATGATTGAATCAATTAGACATGGACAACTGACTCCTGCATTAATTAAGGTTTCCTGTGTTTATCTTCATAATTGCCTACTTTCGGTTATGTCTTATAATTGGTCTGATACAATGAAATTTGAAAATAAGGAAATAAAAAAGAAGAAATAAAAAAAGGTTGATGAAATGACCTCCCCTACGCAAAGAGAACGAAACACCTCAATGTGTAGTCTTGTGTGTTCCCGAAAACTTAACAGAGAAATACAATTGATTCGGCTATCAATCGGCATAAAAATGTTCATAAAGGCTTTAATATAAATGTTTTCATTTTAATTAAAATCTAAAATATCCTGTTATGTCTTCTATTTAAACGGTGTTGTGTTTAAGCCTACAACATTATCAAGTTTATTCGAGTTTTGTGTAGCCTTCGTTTTAATCAATCTTACTGCACAATGACGCAATGGAGCGTATCTTTTCTTGGGAGAAATACAGTCATTAAAAGTTCAAGGTAAAATGTCTCTAGAGTCATAAATGGAATATGCATTCAAAAATACAGTTATTGCATATCCTTCTCATGGCAGTTTCTGCTTAATACAAATGAGAATTTAACAAAGCGATGAAAGATATTACACACGAAGTGTTGTGAATATTATAACGGTGTGATGTACAGCAGGTGAGTAGGCTTACCGGTCCAATCAGCTGCGAGCCAATGACAGAATGATGATCAGCAGATTGACCATGGAGGGAATACGGAATTGGGAGGGATGAGTGTTGAAAGAGTAATGGGATGTAATAAATCAAACACGGATAAGTGAATCCATTACAACCAGTCTTCATACATAGGCCTATATTCTTTTTGGTGATATTCCAAATTGGTACACACACCTATGCGGACGCCTTAACCAGCTGAGCCATTGAGAATTCGTTAGGAATTCAAATCCGAATATAGCAAATAATCCTTCACAATCTTGCACATGCGTAGTAGGACAACACTAGTTATTGATGCATCGCAAATATCAGAAATCAATGTTACATGTAAAGAAAGATGAACTCTAAAACGTCTTGTGGTAATGCTTTGTAAATATATATAACTCATAATATGAAGAGAGATAGGCCTAATTTATATATACATACATACATACATACATACATACACCCCTACACACATACATACATACATACATACATACATACATACATACATACATACATACATACATACATACATACATACATACATACATACATACATACATACATACATACATACATACATACATACATACATACATACATACATACATACATACATACATACATACATACATACATACATACATACATACATACATACATACATACATACATACATACATACATACATACATACATACATACATACATACATACATACATACATACATACATACATACATACATACATACATACATACATACATACATACATACATACATACATACATACATACATACATACATACATACATACATACATACATACATACATACATACATACATACATACATACATACATACATACATACATACATACATACATACATACATACATACATACATACATAGTAAAAAACCTTTCTACTAACAATCTATGGTTACTGCAGAATTGCAAAAAATTTCTACTACAAAAACATTCTGCTTTTAAGATGGAGATTACTAAAACATCTACTTACAAGAATGTACGGCCAATTTTTTAGACAAAAATATTGTAATGCGTATGAAAAGGACTTTGTTTTTTGTTTTTTTTCTTTTTGTATTCTGTATGTCTTCACATCTAATCCAACAGCAAGTACATTCGCCACTTACAGGATAGAACGATAGAGTGGGATTGTTTTGGTCATGAGAAAATGTCCTGCCGTGACAGCTGGGCTTTGGAATTAGAATGCAAGCATCCCAACCACTAAGCAATTCAACTCAATTAAAATGTTTAGGAAAAAAGTAAATACTAGGCAGCCCCATGCTTTTTCAAAAACTTCAGAACCGTAATGTTCTTAGATTTTGATTTCAGGAAGAATAATATCTCAAAATCAATGATCTAATAACTGTGTATATAACTTATATAAGACCCACTTTGGAATATGCCGCCTCGGTGTTGCGTGGTGCCATCACTAAAGAGATGTCGCAATGTATATAAAAAAGGGTAAAAAAAAAGCGCGTTCCACATCATATTGGGTCGCACGTACTTAAATTATGACCATGCCCTGTCTCTTATACACATCTAGATGTGTATAAGAGACAGATATATGGGTGTGTGTGTGTGTAAGTTTTGCCAAAGTATAATGAAATCGACAGGACACAAACTTTTCGGCCACGGGCCTTCATCAGTTCCAGAGAATAGTGGATATGTATAATTATATAATCAATGTGGTATAATTATAAATCAATATATCGGACGTCAGACAAGCAATATACATTAACTAATTCTTCTGTAAACTAGATTACTGTGGCAGCTGAAGAAGGGTGAAGCACGAAACTGTCGTGGTTGTTTCAAATAAATTTACGTGTTCAATGAAAATGAAGAGTTTTCAATTACTCTTGGTACTTGAATTCATTGCTCTAAAAATGTTAACTGTAGAATTAAAACCATGCTATCTTCCGAGGGAATTCAATCAGATTTTTATTTCTATTTATTTCTGTACGAACATACAGAAGTAGACATTGAAGAAACAGGATAATCTTGAAAGCGATCACCGAGGCTATAAGCTGATTCTTAGTAATTAAAATCATGTACATTAATGATAGGCCTATTAATAAAGTTACACTTATTTAGCACATAATGCTAAACACTCCTACACCATTACTATACCAAGTCGTGACCAGGAATAGTAACCTATCAATTAAATGTAAAAAGACGCTTAGGATGTCGGGCGTAAGATCCTCAGACCCTCTGACACATCTAGGACCTAATATATACAGAAAGTAAATCCATCATAAAAGGAAATGAGGAAATGAATAAAGGAAGCGGGATATACAAAAAAAAAACGTTCTAGATAGTAAAAAACCTTTCTACTAACAATCTATGGTTACTGCAGAATTGCAAAAAATTTCTACTACAAAAACATTCTGCTTTTAAGATGGAGATTACTAAAACATCTACTTACAAGAATGTACGGCCAATTTTTTAGACAAAAATATTGTAATGCGTATGAAAAGGACTTTGTTTTTTGTTTTTTTTCTTTTTGTATTCTGTATGTCTTCACATCTAATCCAACAGCAAGTACATTCGCCACTTACAGGATAGAACGATAGAGTGGGATTGTTTTGGTCATGAGAAAATGTCCTGCCGTGACAGCTGGGCTTTGGAATTAGAATGCAAGCATCCCAACCACTAAGCAATTCAACTCAATTAAAATGTTTAGGAAAAAAGTAAATACTAGGCAGCCCCATGCTTTTTCAAAAACTTCAGAACCGTAATGTTCTTAGATTTTGATTTCAGGAAGAATAATATCTCAAAATCAATGATCTAATAACTGTGTATATAACTTATATAAGACCCACTTTGGAATATGCCGCCTCGGTGTTGCGTGGTGCCATCACTAAAGAGATGTCGCAATGTATATAAAAAAGGGTAAAAAAAAAGCGCGTTCCACATCATATTGGGTCGCACGTACTTAAATTATGACCATGCCTTGCTTGTTGCTGGACTGCCGAATATTTCAGCACGACATAAAAGACTGGTGATGTCCTTTATTGAGTTGTTCAGGGAGTTTCTCTCCTCATGCTACAAAGTAACAAGAATTCTCAGATCTAGTCGCTTCATTGAAACACTATTTAAAAAAATACTTTTACAATTTACTGTACGTTCAGATGTTTAAAATAATATTTAAT